TAATTTACTTTAAAATGCTAAAAAGTTAAAATATTCAAATTCGGTGTAAATACATTTGTGATCTAAAACAACTTTTAAGTAACAGTTGTTTTAGATCACAAATGTATTTACACCGAATTGCACATTTCTCCCTCGTATTACCCCTGAACGCCCACTTTTTTTCCTGCGCACACTTTAATGTTCTTTATTTCCAAGGCCCACTTTTTTCCGGTTTCCACTTCTATGTTGTTATTTTTTTTTTAATTACCCAGGCCCCTTTTTTTCCTGCATACACTTCTTTTCTCGCGCTCGCATTTCTTTCTGACATTTGGTTTTTTTCCTAGGCCCACTTTTTCCTCTTTTCCCCCACTATTGTCTGAGAATATTCTAAAGCTTTTTGCAGGTCTAGTTTTAGCAGTAATTTTTCCAGAACAGTTCCTATTCCTACAGCGCCCCCACCCCCCTACTTCACCTCCACCCCACCCTTCCCCCCTTTTTTTAAACTCCCTCATTTAATGTTTATCCATGTTCGAAAAGCAAGCAGATTTAAATGCGCTCTTTTGAAAGATACACATTTTTCCTTAGTCCACTTATAGTTGATTCACTGGTCCTTTGCTATGCGCTGAAATTTTCCGTGGCCAGCATGTAATCCTGAAGATTTTCCTAAGCTCCTCCTCCTCAATTCTAGTCAGGGTGAGCCAAATGTCATGACATATTATACTCAACAGAACAGATCTCTGAAATATTGGCCAAAGCTACTGACAATAATAATAATATGCATTTCGGCCACTTTCTGTGATTTTTTTTTCTTTTCTTTTTTAAAACATTTCTTTTTAATGCATCTTGTCAGCTAACGCTCGGGGTTTCGAAAGAGTTAACCAGTTTGAATTTGAGTTTCCTCAAATAAACAAGATTAGTGTAGCACTTTTCAATAGCTCCCCTCTCTGCCCCACAATGCTTACAAAACGAATAAATCATATGCTTGTAACACACCTTTGGTAATATAAAGTAATGAACAAATAGAATGTATACATGAAATAATGAATTAATAAATAAAAGAGTAAATTTGTCATAAACCGTTAGGGGGAATGGGTGGCGGGGACCTTTAACATCATTAACATCATCGGGAGCGGGGGGGGGGGGGTGTTCGTAGAGGATGATGCTGCAGAAACACTGATAGAACTAACTTTTTGTAACATGCAACGAGAACGACAGGGAAGGGTCGTTGGCCTGCATTTCGTTTAAGTGCTCACAAGTTCTCCGGACTTCAGCCCACATTGCTTCTTTTTATCGGGATAAAGGTCGGGAGAAATGCCAGGCGTCACGGTGAGGCGGCAAGTTAACGCTTCCTCACGAGGCTTGTCTGGCGCTATAAAAGAAGCCTGTAACATCAGTGGGTGTTCACTTTGCATTCTGCAGGAAGTTCAAAAAAGAGGAAAGTGTCCAGCGGAAGAGACACAACGTAAAGATCGAGACGAATAATTTGGATTCTGATTTTTCATATAAAACTTGGTGAGTACAGTGTATTTATACACACACACACACACACACACACACACACACACACACACACACACACACACATATATATATATATATATATATATATATATATATATATATATATATATATGTTTAAATAATACATAATGTGTGTGTGTGTGTGTGTGTGTGTGTGTGTGTGTGTGAGAGAGAGAGAGAGAGAGAGAGAGAGAGAGAGAGAGAGAGAGAGAGAGAGAGAGAGAATGAGTCTGAGTAAGTTCTATCTCTCTATCTATTTAACTATCTACTATTTATATCTCTCTCTTTATATCTTTATATATATATATATAGATATATATATAGATATATATATATATCTTTATATATATATATATATATATATATATTTATATATATATATATATATATATATATATATATATAAAACGCCCTACCCCAAACTCGAACAGTGCTGCTGACTTAAGTTGTCTTTTGGCCATTCCCAAAGGGGGGATATTAACGTGTTCTTATGTACAGCAGAATTGAAAATAGTCTAATTTATCAAAGTCATGCTCTTACTGTGTCGGAACAACATAGAAGGAACTGCTGCTTTTTTTCCTCATCCTTAATGTTGTCATTTTTCTTCTACTTTTGTAAGTTTGTCACTCTCTTGTGAACTGCCTCGAGGTGTGCCTTGATAGTCGAAGCAGATTTTGGGCTGTTGAGGCAAGAGAGATAAGCAGAAAATGCCTAAGTCTCGTTTTGGACTTCTCTATTGATATTCACCCCTTGGCGCTCATATGACCTTATGCAGTTGTGAGCGCCGTAATATATATTATATTACATATTATATATCATATATCGTGTACCTGCAGCTTTGATATATTCCTTTATAATGTATAATAACAATTATTATTTAATGTATGTATATCTGAGTGCATCTTTATCTGTATTTGTGTGAATCAGTGTGTGTGTGTTTGTGTGTGTGTGTGTGTGTGTTTGTGTGTGTGAATGCGTGTTGTGTGTGTATGTGTGTATGTGTGAGTGTGTGTGTGAGTGTGTGTGTGTGTGTGTGTGTGTGTGTGTGTGTGTGTGTGTGTGTGTGTGTGTGTGTACGTTTATAAGAAATGGCTTTCCTAATCACAAAGTATGCTAATGGTGTTGTTCTGTCTGTGTAATGCATGTACATTTCTTCTTCTTCTTCTTCTTTTTCTTCTTCTTCTTCTTCTTCTTCTTCTTCTTCTTCTTCTTCTTCTTCTTCTTCTTCTTCTTCTTCTTCTTCTTCTTCTTCTTCTTCTTCTTCTTCTTCTTCTTCTTCTTCTTTTCACCATGCTTTAAGACTATTATTTACCATAAGCTGGGCCGTCCTGCATAGTTCCTTTCCTTGGCCCACACAGCTTCTGCTATAGTGTTAATGAGGTTGACCACATTTAGTGCCTTATGGCTCTAGGTGTCCCGTACTGCCTGACTGCTTTAAACTCGTGTTTACAAAGTCTTCATTCGGAGAGTGCCCTTGAGTCGAAAAGATTAACTTTATAAGTTGCTGTACTTTTCAAACATCATAGACAAATCAGACGAAAAAAAAACTATTGGCAGATGTGTTCCATCGTTTGATCTGCTTCCCCACACTGACATTTTAGCAATTCTACAAAGTTTGATTTTGAAATTCCTGCACATGCGGTGTTAAGTTCCAGTGTGTTGTGATCATAGTCGGAAGACAATCACGTATTCTTTGTCTTATCATTCTTTTGTTTTTACTATTTTTTTAAAAATTACTTATTCCTGTCTCCTCATTCTTATCTTCACTAGAAAACACTGTAAACCACAAGGAAAACGATGGCCGGACAGACGAAGCTGTACTTCTTCGACGCTCGTGCTAGAGGAGAGATCTCCCGCCTTGTCCTGGCAGCCGGAGGGAAACCCTGGGAGGACGTGCGTGTGGCTGGAGGAGAGGAGTGGCAGAAAAAGACCAAGCCAAGTGAGTTCTGATTTGAGGTAGTGAGGCGTGAAACCAGACATTTATAGTCGCTTTTAAGGAATAGTGGGCTAACCCAGATTTCGGGGCTTTCCCAAAATCTTGACCCATGTACCAAAATTGGGTATTGCCCTATCTATAGGAGAAGTTTGGTTTCATTGGTGTTTATATGTGTTTGGTTATAGAGAAAACTTTCCTTGTCTTTTAAAGGAACAGAACAAAGGGGCAAAAACTTTACCTTCGATTTTTTCAAAACAGCATTTTTCAGGATAGCCCACTTGTTTTCAAGTCAATGTTTAGGTGGCCTGTTTAATATTGTGGGTTTACGTGTCATTGCACCTTGAAAGAGGAAGTCAAGCAGCTGCATAATGAGGAAAAGGTTGCATTGGAGTACACAGGGTAAAAGTTCAAGGGAAAGACCCTGTGGAACATGGATAAAAGTCACCGAAATTTATGTGTAGAAAAATGGGAAGGCATGAAATACCATCAAGAGGCTAGCGTAGGATAGGGAGAAGTGGAAAGTGTCTGTTCGTGGCCTGCACCCTGATCCAGTTGAGAAAGTCAATGATGATGATGATGATGCATCTGGAAATTAAAAGGGGGGGGGGGGTTTGAATGGGAGAGCTTTTTACAATCTAAAAAATGTTGTCTTATTTTTGGTAAAATTAATTAGGTTGCTTAATTTTTAAAAACGTATCTGTTAGATAGTATTTAGTTCGATTCTAATGGAAACAAGTCTACTTTATGTGAATCTTACAACAGACAAACAAATAAAACAAACAAACAACCTCTTCCAAATAAAAAACAATTTTTTTTAAAACAGCGAATGATGTATCTCTCTGGAGAGTATGGCTGTCTTGATTTAATATTCCAAGCAAGTTGAGATTTTTTTCAGAATGCAATCCGTCTGCTGAGGTAAATCTAATAATGGTATTATTATAAAGCCCACAGATCTTTCTGTAGAGCAGGAATTGCGCTGGGCCAATTAATTGTATATTTTAATTATTTATTTATTATTATTATTATTTTAGTGGCAAACTGTGAGTCATTGTTTTCTTTCTCACACAGCCACGCCATTTGGAACAGTCCCAGTCCTTGACATAGGCGGAAAGCAGTATGGGCAGAGCCTGGCCATTGCGTCCTATTTGGCGAAGCAATATGGTAAGTGTTGTCACCACCACCACCATCACCATTATCATCACCATTATCATCATCCTCATCATCATCAGCATCATCATCATCATCATCATCATCATCATCATCATCATCATCATCATCATCATCATCATCATCATCATCATCATCACCAAAGATATGTGTGTGTGTGTGTGTGTGTGTGTGTGTGTGTGTGTGTGTGTGTGTGTGTGTGTGTATGTGTGCGCATGCGTATTTTGTTCTCCAATTCTATGGATTTCAAAGACCAAGGACGTTTTGAACTTGACACGTCTGTATATTTTCGTCTACTTTGTGTTTTAAGTGTGTTTACATTCCTTTTATGAATAATGTATAACTATTAGGTGCCTCTTAACTTCAGGTTTGTACGGGTCTTCACCTCTGGAAGAACTCGTGATCGACGAGGTCCAACAACTGAGAGAGGATTTGTTTAGGAATGAAGCCGCACACTTCAACGAGAAAGACGAAAAAGTGAAGGTAAGGTAGCGTCTAATTATTGAATATCTTAGTGCTTGTTGATTGGCTTTTTGGACTCTTACTAAAAAAAATAATTTTAAAATAAAAAATTGTATGCATACCTGCATGTGTTTGTATGGCCCACTACAGCCAAGAACAACTTCTCTCTATGACAATAAAGTATTGTCTTATCCTACCTTATCTTATCTTATCTTATGTTATGAATAACAAAATAAGCACTTTACAATGTTACATAGATCAAGCAGCCTATACAATATCGCATCAGTTTCCCACTAAGGTCCAAGGCTAAAGTTTCTCTACAATTGAAATTAAGTGACTTAGAAACAATGTTGCGCATTATGACTTTTAGTTTTAGTGTTATTTTAACGAATTGTTTTGCCCTTGGTTTCAGGCTGAGAAAGCAAAGGTCCTGAAAGAGGAGACCTATCCCAGATATCTTGGATACTTCACAAAAATCTTGAAAGACAATGGAAATGTGTTCGTCGTGGGCAAAAAGGTAAACTGTCCATTTATTATTTTAAATAAACAAAAAATACAAACAATGCAACCAAACCTTATATTGTAAAATGAAAAAAAGAGCAAAAAGTGCGTGTGTGTATGTGTGTGTGTGTGTGTGTGTGTGTGTGTGTGTGTGTGTGTGTGTTTGTGAGTGTGTGTGTGTGTGTGTGTATGTGTTTAAGGCGAGAGGGGTGGTCATTTGTACAGGTGCTCGTCACGGAGAAGTGGTTGTAAGAGTAGTTTCAACTGCTCGTGCAAAATTATCACAAGCAAGCAAAAACTGACCTCTATGGGATGTTGCATCCCTCTAAGCCCAGGATGGACCAGACAGGCAAGGTTGAAGCCCTCTCCTTAAACGAATGATCAACGTTTTGCTTAAGAAGGCGTAAAAGCACATGCACTTTTAAAACTTACTCATTGAACTTACATGGAGAGATTTAATTATTCATGGGTCTTGAAATTTTCCTGAAGGCTGGAGCGAATGTTAAAAATCTATTTATGTATCAATTTACTGTATTTCTTCAAAATGATATTAAATCCACAACACTAATAAATCGTTTCTATTACATTTAACTTCTATTTCCTAAGCTTAAACCCCTAATTTGCACACTGTAAGTTATTTTGAAGCGGTAGTTTGGTTTATCTTGTCAAAGCATCGATATTAGAATAAAACAAGAATCAGAACTCCAAACCTCGAGCATCCATATTTAATATCATATACACAAGCTACTGAATCACAACTGCAGGCAGAACTATAGGTATTTTCCTTTCTGCATACCCCTGCTGGAGCTCAGCAGGTAGAGACTGGCAGTAAGATCTTCATCTCACAGTGTTTTTGATTTTCCGTTCATGGCCGTTTGATCTACATCCAAATTAGAATCATCGTTGCCTGACAGGTGGTCACTCGCTTTCTTCGGGGGTGCTCGTTGGTTCTGACTTTCTTTATTTCAATTTTTCTGCAGGGATTATTTTTCAATTGTGTCCCGACTCTGGTCCAAAAGCGCCAACTATCTAAAAATATAAGAACCGAGAGAGAATCTTTAACGTGGGAATGAGCCATAAATTGCCCGTCCTTTTTTAGAAGAATGTGTGCTTGATCCTGCCTGCTCTAGCATCAAGAGATGTTCGTCGTGTAGAAAACATGAAACAGAAAACATGAGACAAAGTCTAACTCAGACAGGATCGAAGTCAAGACTTCCGGGTTGACAGGCACAAATCATACCTGTTTGACCACTCAGCCCTCTGTAAAATCTTCTATACTGTTCCAATCCCAAATTCTTTGACAAATAACGCGTAGTTTTTTTCACGTGACCTTTCTGCTCTCCACAGGTGTCCTTGGCAGATCTGGTCATTCTGGAGTCCACAACGACCTTGATACAGAACGTACCAGGTCTTTTAGACAAGTATCCGGAACTCAAGGCCCACAGAGAGAGGACTTCTCAGGTTCCAGGGGTTAAGGAGTACCTGGCCAAAAGGCCCACCCAACCTATCTAAACATAGTTTGGTTAGGGGCTTTTTCTACTCATGACGCAAATGTACATAATTTATTAATGATCACCAGCATTGTCTGTCGCCAATCATTTTCAGAAACAAGTCAATGATGATAATATTATGTGTATTAAAAGAATAATATGATTTATCTATATTTAATTTGTTATTATGATTGCAATTTAATTAAACATGCGTTTGCTTATATAGCATCTTTTTTTGTTGGTTGCTTCTTTAAGGTACGTGTTGTTGTAATCATTGCCGTTTTTAATTATGTCTTATTAAAACGTGTTATACGCTTCCATCGACACAATGTATACCACTACAATGTATGAGGTCTTAGACCTACACAACTCCTCCTTACCCCCCCCCCTCGACCCACACACAAACAAATTAAAACGTCCGTCAAGCTCAAAATGGTGTGGTGGTATAGATACTACAAACCACAAGAAAGAAGCAGGGAATTGATTAAACTAATAATATTTTAAGTGTCTCGACATGGTGAAATCAGGTGCCCGTCAATTTGGTCTTTTGGCATGTTATGAAATAATTGGTATATATTTAAAACCTGTTCTGTTGACTTGCTTTTGATGAAAAAGTACGCATTTATAACGACGAAAAAGTGGAAATAATTTGTTGCACTTGAAAGACGTGGGGGTTGCTTGGTTCTAAGAGAAAATGACAGCCAAAATTGTGTAATTTCAAAATCTTTAGGGTCCTTGGAAATTGCAAATTGTATAACTGCCTTTGATGAATGTTTCTCACAGACATGTGTTTTAATTGACAATAAAAGGTTTTGACCCCACCCCCCATTCGAAAAAAGAAAAAACAAAAGAAAAAAATAAACCAAATTAGATAGAATTTGCCCAACGGGTGAAGAAATGTCGGTTTCTCATATTTCATTATTTATTTTTATGAGCGCCAGATTTCATCACGATTCCACATCAAAACCATGCGGGAATCTACCTACAATGTTTTGAGTGCAATCAGAAAAGCTCAGCCACAAATATTTATCATTTTTCGGAGGGGGGGGGGTTGTCTTTTCTTTTTGTTTGTTTGTTTGTTTATTTGGGTTTTTTGTTTTGTTTTGCGTGTTTGTATGTTTGTTTGTTTTTGTTTCTTGCTTTGTTTTTTGTCTTTATTTTCGGGTACATGATCCTTAATTCTGTAGCGCCGTAAAAACTCAACTAGAACTAAACTGAACATTTAGGTCAGTCTCTTTTCCATGCTCACACATCACGTTTTAGGTCGCTAGTTAGACTGCATTGTCAACAACAATAGGAATTTAGTGTGGCTATCATTTGCCATACAGTCTAACATATCATCGTGTACAAGACTCACCTTCTTAATGAAAAATCAGTTTTCAATTCGCGCTGCGTCATTTTCATGAGATAAGAAATAAGAAATGGCTCCTCCTATTTGCTATATTGATCAAGATATAAGGCTGCTGACCAAAATTGGGCTAGATTAAAATAAATCAATTTGTTTTGTTTTAAAGGATGCTCACTGGGTTTTTTTTTCAATCTACAGAAGAAGGTGATGGTGATGCGCATAAAATATTGGTACGTCTCTTTCAAATAATACAATGATTTGTACAGAAATCTAGAATCTCAAATTCAATCTGCTTCCTATACACAATAATAAAACGGCATTTGGCTAATACAGCACCCAGATAAGGATAGTTGGGGCCACTGTAAATACATTTCATCAATGGTTGTCTTGAATAAAGAGATTCTGCGGGGAACAACCCCCCCCCCCCCCCCTCTCCCCCCCCCCCCAACCCAATCCCACTTGCCAACTCTATTTTTTAAAACGTGCGTTCTGTCTTGCACATTATGTAGTTCGGACAAACTTAAACAAGAACACATCGTTACAACTTCTTCTGGTTGCGAGACTGAATAACCGTGTATACACATTTTACCATAGCTAAATTGAAGTATTAGAAAGCAAAAGAAAGAACCCATGGTTCAGTCGACACGTGAGCTAGCTGTACAGTGGTGCGGACTACACGGGTGCGGATTACGCACTGGACGTTTTTGAAGTTGAATAGCTTTGGAAGGATTATTTATGTCCACCTTATTGGCTCTGTCCTATCGAAAGTGGGCACCAAAAAATTTTAAAAACCTAGTCGAAAGTCCCACCTTTCTTGTAGCTTAATCATATTAAAAGGTACCGATCTTGCAAACATGGATAAACTCAAAGTGTTATTTCGTCCACATAATCTTTATTGCAAGTCAAAATTGAGAAAAACGGCAACAAAACAATAAATGATAAAAAGATACAGAAACATTGACCTAAAGCTAATAACACCGTATTCCTTCTAGGGAAACATAATCAACAACTGTAACAACAATTACTCTGGCAGAGTTGAGGAAAGCTATAGTATAACACATGTGTAATGATGATGGAACGGGTGATGCATAGTAAAGTAAAATAAAGTTGTTCCCGCATCCGATCCAGACATTGGGGATTGCCTAGTTTGTGAGACAACTTCCTGGGCCTTCGGCATATTGTGGTAGGGTGGCCAGTTCCTTTCCACGCCGTCTTTACTCTCCCAACTCGAAGTCAGGTACTCATTAGGGCTGGGTGGGCAGGAGGGGGGGGGGGCGAAAAAATCCGGGTCCGAACCGAGGCTCGAACCCGGACTTTCCGCTTCCGAGACGAGCGCACTAACCGCTCCACTGTGGTGTTGTATTTTTAAAAAAGGGAAGTAACAGTAAAATAGTTAAGGCGTAAGAATAGGGCGTGGGATAGCAAGAAAGAAGATATAATAATAACATTTAAGTACTGTCATTTTCACAGATAAACGTAAAGGAGACATTGCACTAAACATATGTATCTCTGACGAAAAGAAGAAAATATGAGTAAGAACATTAATCTTAATTTTTTATTTCTCTTCCACAAGTTCTCTGGCCATCTCTCTCTCTCTCTCTCTCTCTCTCTCTCTCTCTCTCTCTCTCTCTCTCTCTCTCTCTCTCTCTCTCTCCCTCTCTCTCTCTCCCTCCCTCCCCCTCTCTCTCTCACTCACTCTTTCTCCTTCTCTCTCTATCTAGCTACCTCTAACTCGCTGTATGAAAGGGGTGGGTGGTCATGAGTGTATATGTGTTTTTCTTTCTTTCTTACTCCCTCTCTCCCTCATTGCCTTCGTCTGTCTCAGTTTCTCTTCGTGTCTTTGTTTATCTCTGTCTGTCTATTTGTTTGTCTGTCTGTCTGTCTGGCTGTCTCTCTTTTCCCCCCCCTCTCTCTCTCTCTCTCTCTCTCTCTCTCTCTCTCTCTCTCTCTCTCTCTCTCTCTCTCTCTCTCTCTTTCTTTCTTTCTTTCTCTTTCCATCTTCTCTTTCGTATTTTCATCTGAAACTTGACGAAGTAACCAGAGAGAATGACCATCTCAGAGCGGCAGTGAACCTCGCCTGTAAGGGAGATAGAAACAAAAAAATATATTATCCATGGTTACAGTTAAATATATTTTAGTTTTGTTGCATTCGTTTTTTTATTTACATCAATTTCTAAGGGAATTATCTTAAGTAATATAGCTGGAGGAATTGGGATTTGGGTTGATTGAGTTAGTTTGAGTAAAGGAAAGCACATAGAAACGATAACATTGGTCACTTAGTGCAGGGAAAGGGCAAAACAGATAGACAGGCAGAATCAACAGCGGGGAAAGAAAGAGAGGAAACAGGACCTGCCTATGGTACTTTCCAACCACCCGCAATGATAACGGCAGAAATGGTGGGGGGGGGGGGGGGGGGTGCAGGAAAAATAGTGCAACTAGTTTTGAAAAAAAACTGTTTGGAAAAAATACCTGTAACGGTTGTCAAAGTAGAAACTAATCTGGTACATTTGATGTCAGAGGATTGTGTCTAAACCTGTATGCCAGTTCAACACTCCGTCCCCGAATAGAAATTCGTGATTCTAGGTTTGGTAGTTTCTATGATTTGGGAGTTAATTATTGACACGGCTTCATAAACAAAACACAATTTGTCAATAATTTGGACTTAATGACTTTAATTGTAATATTTGTTAGGGTTTTTTTTACGGTGGTATTAATTATGTTTGCTTCTCTCAATGAATTTTGGTGCTGAAAAGTAAATGCTTGCATTCAATTCTTAAAATAAACAAAAGTAACCTTTTTCGTATGTTGTGAGGGTGATCCACATAAGACCCGACTAGAAATGAGGTTCTGTATTGAGGGCCCATGATTTATATACAATGTCACGACTCGGTGGATTCAAGTGCTCGTCAATTTTTGGGCACTTAGAGTTATTGGTAACATTTTAAGCCCTCTCCAACTTATGAAAATTTATCCATCTATCTTTCAAATAGAAATCGAGATATTTGCGATGGACGAGGGTGGCAGAAAATGGCGCCCATATTTTGATTTTCGTCAAAGTTTGGTAATTTCTATATCATGAAAAACCAATGGAACAGAACATTTACATTTTTGTGCAGCAAACATTTTAAATCAAATACACACAGAATTGTGTTATGTATATAAAAGGTGAAGAGCAACAAAAAAAACCCCAGAAATTTATTTTAAAAATTGCCCCCAACATCCAGAAAAATGCGTTTCTTTGATTTCATTACTTTAAAGAATGCCTTATTTCACCACAATGCCTCACATAATTTAAATAAAAATGTAAAACAATGTGATTGTAACTTTATTCTAGATAAGGGTGTAATAAGTGAAAATAGCTTTTGTTTACCACAATTCCTGCTAAATATCATCATCTATGAGTTTTTATATCGACTTCTTAGGAAGCATACAGGGCAGACTACCATTTTATAGGCGCTAAAATACTAGTATACTGACAAGTTCTTTCCCTGTCTACGGCTGGGTACCCATTCCCACCTGGGTGAAGTCGGGAAAATTCGTGTAATGAGCCTTTCCCAAAGACACAAAATCGGGCCTGACGCTCCCACCCCCGAACCTGCAACCTTGCAATAAAGAGTCCTGTAGCCTAAGCACTAGACTACCGACACCACAAAAATGATGACGGATTTACCAAGAAATTTCAACAACTCTTAAAGTGGCGTCGGTGGCCTAGTGGACAAGCTACCAGACCCGTAATAGTGAGATTGCAGGTTCGGGGGTTAGAGCCCCTGCTCGGTCTGACGTTGTGACCTTGGGAAAGGCACTTTGCAAGAATTTCCTATTTGGCTCTGTCCTTTCGGAGATGGACGTTAATCTTGGAGGTCCAAGTCTCTTAAACAATCTAATAGCGTTGATAGGAGCTTTAAACCTACACTCTTTCACCATTCCAACCCTTGAAGTGGCAAAATGTTTAGTTTGTCTTACCTGCCTACGTGGGGGTACAGAGGATGACCGCCAGTGTCCAGCTTGTGGTGGAGACTTTTGGAACCCACTGCGCATGCGTACTGTCGGAAAGTGCCGTGGGTCCTAATGTGGGTGTTGAGGTTGGAGGCTCTGTGCGAAAAAAAAAGTCAAGTGCAAGGGATAAAAAGAAGGAACCATATTAAACTATTTTCAGGGATTGAGAGAATTTATTTCAATCTCCCTCTCCCACTTTCTCTCTCACTCTCTCTCTCTCTCTCTCTCTCTCTCTCTCTCTCTCTCTGT